GGACACGTACTGAGGCTTCAAGTTCGTCGAGAATTTGTTGGAGTCGCTCACTTGAGGAAGCACCGCCTGCATCGAGTTATGAAAGCTGTTCTGACCGACGATGACGTCCGGAGCAGACGTGGAGACTCTCAACTTCGAGTCATCGCCGATTCCCGTGGGTGAGCTGACGGTGCTGACAGGCGTGGCTGAGACTATATTTTGCACAACGGCGTTCGACACGTCGAAGCCTTGGCTGCTGCCCATCGCCGACGAGTGATCAAAGTTCGCTACAGGTACCAAATTCACTTTGACAGGAACGAGGAACTTTGGTTTCTCTAGTTGGCCAATTTCGACACCGCTGGAGTGTGAGATCTCTAGGTTAGGAGATATTTGATTCCAGGTGTTGCTAGGGTTGAACTTGGAGCTCTGATGAGATTTGTGCCTTGCTTCCAACCCTGACTGTCTGCTATCGTATCGCGTCTCTTCGTAACTGTCGTCCTCGTCGCGATGTCTGTCGTCGTCCATCCAAGAATTTCCTCGCATCCTCTGCCTTGACTTCGTTCTCGAAGAGTGATGCCTCTTACCGTGGCTCTCGTACTCTGTGCTATCAGACACCGATCCTCGATGCTCCTTTTGGAGTCTCTTGGAGCTGTCGCCGCTGGAAGGTCGTCTTCTGTTCTTCTGAACTCTTCTGGGCCTCTCCGTGTACTCCATGTAATCCTCGTCTGATAAATCCCGGGAGTCTTCGTCACTTCGGAATCTGCCGTCCCTGTTGTGCAACACCCTCGATGTTTGATAGTTTTCTCCACCCGAGCCTGATACTATCGGCGAGTTACCGAACTCAGCGACTACAACTGGTCTTGAGAATCTGTGGTGATTGTTCGTCTGCTGAGAGGACGCCGCGATGCTGTCGTACGCGTCGTAGCTGTTGGAGTTGCTCTTCTCCAGGTCGTTCACCTCCTGATCCGTCCTTGGAAAGGACGAGGCTATGGGCCCGCTCTGTCCGCTCTGCCCGTGACCGTCGTAGTTGAAGACATCTTGCTGATGATAATTATCGAGCACTTTCTCCTGCTCGCGAGCAGCTTTGTCCTTGTCCCTCGCTGAATTGTTAGGATAATAACGAGCGTAAGAAGAACTCTCGTCGTTATTGTCGGTTATCGTCCCGTAGTTTCCTGTGTAATTCTTCAGGTTCTTTCCCTTTCCTTTGATCCCGTATCTCGAGGAGGACTCCGTATTCTCGTTTCCGCTTTCCACGGAGCTCGGGGGGCCTTCGTAAAAGTCCGGATAATTGGCGACCACGGGCGTGTCGTTCCTGACTTTCAACAGCTCGAAGTCGTTTTGCCGTGTCTGGTACTCGAACGATCTGCGATTGTTCCCACTCGGACGTGGGAAGTTTAAGAATATCCTCGCTTCCGTGGAGTAGGCGGGATCGTTTTCCAATTCGTCCGCATCTTCCTGCTCGACGGAGTCCTCGTCGTCGATGGTGAAGTTGCTCGGATCGTTCAAAGAATTGCTCCAAGTGATGTTGCCGAGTGGCTCCAGCTGGTCGAGGCGATTGGAAGACTTGGACGTCGAGGATGTCGTCATCGGAACGAAACCGTTTGAGTTTTCGTAGTGCACCGTGGTGTCTATTAGCGAGGTTCTTAGCTGATCTCGAAACTCCTTATCTTTCTCCTTGGATTTCTCGACGTTTTGTACCACGCTTTCCGAAGCGGTTGCAATTTGATCGAGAGTCGCAGCTTCTTCTTTGAGAACCACATCTTTGGCTCCTATTAGGTGCGGCCAGCTCAAAGAGAAGAAGAGGACCTGCATCGAATACGAATGCGTTAGCAGAGAAGAAGGTGTATTCGATTCGCAGCGTGAGTTCACAGACTTTCTCGTCATCCCGGACAATTTAACCGAATTAATTAAAGAAATATACTGACAGCCATAACGAATTGATTTTTTATACTGTCAATGAATATACATAGTATTTCTTTTAACGCGTTCTTTTTAAATGGCTCGTAGGATCAGCCTCGAACCGATCTATGGCGTCAGACGCGGTAAGACGCTAGCTGGTTCGAAGAAAGTTGGCGATCGCGTTCAAGCCCGAAAGAAGAAAGCGCTCCGATTATTGCGAACTTGAGATAATGGCAAAGCTAAACGGAATCATCGGCGAAAATAGCTGGCAGTCAAGGGACTGACCTAGAAAAGAAAAGCGGAGTGGAAAAGTAAAATGCGGAGAGCATGCGTGTGTACTACGACGGACAAGGACTGAATGTGCACGGAAGCAGATCCACAGAAACTTTCTCACTGATTCATGGCGACCAGATTCTGATTGACGGCGAATCGGGTCTTGTGTAACTACCACTCGAAAGATCAAAACTGCGTCGTCAGGTTGTGTACATGCATCCGGTAAAGTGTGTCATTTTCAGACGCTCTGATACATTTCCGATTAAATAAACACGGTTAATAGTAGCGTGTAATTTCGCGTGAAGAAAAATTGCTCTAATTGCGAAGAAAACGCATCGTGCAACGTACATCCACGCAGCTAGCAATAAATCTCTATCCCCTTTCGACGGATCTAAAATGGAGCGACGTAGAAAATATCCCTGGTCAGAGAGCGCGAAGAAAGTAAGGTCTTACTTCTAATTGGTTAACTCGCGCGGGAGGTAAATTAGGGAAAACACTAACGTCGAAATATTAAGATAGAAAGTGCTCCAGTTATACTGATCCGTGTACGGTTAGATACACACTAGAAATTTCTGTCGACGTTGAACCTGTTTTTCACAAATTTCTGAAATGGATTACATTTGTTAATTTAGCAACACCTTTTAGTAGAATCGAGACATTTCATGCGTGAGAAGGAGAGAAAAAATAAGAGTAAGGGAATCGAACCAATGCTGTACATAATATTTGCGTAATAATCGTTCTCGCGGTAGAAGGAACCAGTTGCTAATTAGCTACCGAGGCGATAAAGATCGTAACAAAGAAAAAATAAAAGTGTTAAATCGCGTAAAAATATGTCTCGCAAGGTGATGCAAACACGCGTTGGATAAATTGTTGAAGCAAGTTGTCACTGTTTCTATTCACTCGAATGGACATTTTTTGATGGCGGAAGGGGTTTACGAGAGTTTCACACTCGCCCACGAAATGCTACGATGGATTATTATGGACGGTTTATCCTTCGATAGGTCGCCATAAACACAAGAACTGAATTCGCACTCGGATCCCGGTACTTACGAGATGAAACAACATTTTCCTTGGTCGCGTGTCGGGCACACCCTCTAAAACGGAGAACCACAGTTAGGCAGGGCCGAGTGTCACTGAACGTCGCGTAGAACACATTGATTGCAGCTTGGTGGTCTGTCCTTCGAGCTTCTGTAATCCGAAGGACCTTGCGAGGCGAACATCCACGCGAGAACTGAGCAACATAGTAGACACGCGATTTTCTTTATACACTCCGGTAGCCAAGTGAAAAATATCGTTCTAAATATTATCCTAGAGCCCATCGGCCTGAGGATACTTTCATTCGCGACACGCGACTGCAGCTGGGAAATTGTTGTCCGCAACAAGTGCAGGATGCGACCACCCATCATTAACGTGGTGGAAGCCACGCAAATTTGCTGGACGAAGGAAAAGTATCCTAGTCCGTTCGCATCAGACTTGGAGATCTACGAATGTTCGGTGTAATTAAGTGCAATTACTTCTAATAATATATAACGCCTGGATTTTTTTTTTCTGCAGCTAATCGTTCTCACTTTTCACGAAGAATCTCGGAGCAGTTCTCGACGAGAAGAATGTAGAAGCTATTTTTGGAGTTCGATTAATTTTTGGCAATCGTTCGATTAATTTTTGGCGAAGAGATCCCACCCAGACGCAACGTAAACTATGGAAGATTCGCCTAGGATGGTCAGTAGTTCTTCGTCCAGGATTTTATGCGCTCTGAAACGCACGCATTATGCACAGCGCGCTCGCTCCTCCCGATGCAACCTGCCTCACACGATAGAAACGACGCTCAGCGTCGGTGTGCCAGGACGCTGCTGAACGCTCGAGGATTTGCCTGTGTAAGATCTCGCCAGCGCTGGCAATCGCCACAGTTTAATGCCTTGTGTCTAATTGCCGTGCTTCGTAGATATGCTGGAGATATCATCGTTGCTTCGCGTTGTGAAAACGTGGAATTAACTGCGCCCTACGACTATCGCGAGTAGTTTGTTCATCCCCACGCATGCAGACAATTAACACTAATTACCTGCCTCGCAACCGTGTCGCGTTCACTTACTTTTTTCCCTTTGCTTCCTTTTTTGGCTATTTTGATGCTATGATAATTCCCGCGAATTTAAATAATAGACTGTAAAATTTATGCATTAACATTGTCTGTTGTTGATTCGCGAGATAACCGTAAATGTATATTAGTAGTTTGCGATTCATCGTTCAGGAACGATTTGGATGGAAAGTGAAAACTGCCGGTGCTTTTGAATTTCGTAAAATAACTTGCAAGCGATGTTTGCTTTTGTCAGATAGCCACAATAACTGACGACCGTCATTCGAAAGGAAAACGTGAAACGTTTGCTTGAAATAACATATTCAGCCTTTTATTTTCCGCTACGTTATCAGACAGTAAATGGAGCAATCGATTTGCTTCGAGTAGCAGGTATTTCAAATAATGAAGCTATTTCATTGCGGTATGCGCAGTATTTATGTGGTATGTGTGGCATTTGTTTGCGTGGCGCGGCGCGTTTGTGGTATTCGTACGGTATCCGTGTTATGTGTCACGTGATGTCTAATTGTTAGACAGTGAATTTTATGCATCTGCGATGCTTACGAGAATGGAAAACGCATGCAGAATCTAATATGCATTTGGAAAAAGAAATTGATCGTTGCATTTTCTGAAACATATTTTGCGTACGATCTATACATTTTAATAAATTCTCTGGCAGATTTTTAAATTTATCTATCGATCGGTGAGAATACGAGAAGATGGAAGATCGAAGGGAATTAAAATTGACTATCGATTATGTATGAGTTTTATTCAAATATATATGAATGTATACAAAACGAGTGTCTTGAGTCCTTAAAAAAACTAAGCTCATAAGGTACCTTCTTGAAGCGAAGAATTTGGTTAGAAGCATCCGTGTGCTTCGACCGCGACCGATTCTTTGAAACTTTGATCTAAGAGGTAATAGATCTGACGTCTCAAAGAATCAACGCCCAGGTACAGTATTTCGCGATAAAAATTTATTGCACAATCCCGTATTAAATACTGTCGAACTAGACAATTCATAGCATTCGAAGAACAATGTCTTTTCCGCCGATCTGAGATCTCAGAAACACTTTAGCTCTTGACCTTGTAAGTCGTGAACCTTGGATCATCCACAATCTGAACGTTCTTCACTTTCTGCCTAGCCGTCGAGCGTTCACCGTAATGGCTGCCAGCCAAGTCCGCTGACACATCCAAATTGCTCGTCTCGTAGCTCGATCTTCCATTGTAAGAATTCGAATCGTAGCTAGGTCCACTACGGGCGTCATCTTGCGTCAGTCGAATCAAATCCAACACAGGACTCTTCCCAATACCGGAACTCCTGTCCTTGTCGATGGACTCCGTTCCAAGATTATAGGTGGAGGGTCGCGCCAATTCCTGAATACTATTGGCATACTGTATCAAGTACTGCTGAAGCAGAGCCTTCAAATTAATGTTCTGAGAGGGCTTAGGTTGGATAGGGGACGCTCCGTCCACTCTAAGGATGATGACGGGTATCAAAGAGTTCCCGGCTTGCACGAAAGTCGGACGAACATTCAAGATGGACGATGGGTTCCTGATGTACTCCGAGATGGACGGATTGTAGTTCAGCAAGTCGGAGTACTGAAGGTTGTTGTAGCTATTCAGATCGCTGTTGCTTAGGCTCTGCTTCGTTGCCTGCTCGTTCTCTGATAGTATCGTGTCCAAGTAATTCTGAACCTTCGGGGTGTACTTGGTAGCGATCCGGGAGCTCTCACCTGATGAACCGTAGACACTAGTGACGGGGGTGGTGGTGTTGATTGTAGGCTCCGTCACGTAGGAGTCGGTGTACTCGGCATTTGGGCTGTTGGTCTGGTACCTGAAACAGAGGAGTTGATTACATTACAGTGTGGTGCAAAGTATCTTTATTTTAAGCGATCTAAGTTCACCTAAGTAATACTTATCTTCGCCAGTGAGTTCACCACTAACCTGGAGGGTATCCGGCTGTAAAGAGACTCGTAATTCAGCTTCTGTCCGCTGGAGCTGGGCTTCGTTCTTCCTGAGTAAGACGACGAGAAGGAATATCCGGTAACAGTGGGCTTTCGTTGGTGCGCCAAGTTAGGCTGCTGCTTCTGGCTCACTAAATTCTGATAACCGAGCCGGTACACTTGTTGCTGGGGCAAGCTCGACGACAGCGACTCCGCGGAAACGAATGGGTTCGCCTGTTGTTCGTTCTGCTCGACTACCGTGGGAAATTGCACCGGACCCTGGGAGAGGACGGTGTTTTCCGTGGTGGTTGCTTCGTAAATCGAAGGAGCGCCCTGGGATTTAGTTCGTTGCGCCGTGAATTGCGGATATTCCACGTAAGTAGCAGGCGGGACGTCGGACACCCGGCCGTCTGGGTATTTCCAGAAGATTTTGTTCTCGTAGCGGATTCCATCCTCCACCGTATATCTGGGACCATTGCCAGACAGCTGCGCGGAGTCCTGAACATCGTAGCTCGACGGTGCGACGGTGGAGGTCTCGACGGTTTGAGCAACGGAGCCCAAGCCTTGGGGGTTGATACGGGATCGAGTGTTCTGCCTTTGGGCGGAGTAAGAGTGCATATTGGCCGAGAAGGGGCCTGTCGTGGCATATTTGTACGAGCCAGGGCTGGAGGTTACGTATCCGACTGTCTCCGTGGAGCTGAAAGCCAAGGACGATTGCGTGGTAGTCGGAATGTTCCTGTATCCAGAGTACTGAGCTCCAAACGAGCTGACCGCCGGTTTCTGCGTTGTTGGGAAGTTCTGGTACCCGAAATTTGTTTGTGGCTTCTGAGGCTTCGTCCGCGATCCGAACACAGGCTGGGATTTCGATGATTGCTGATAATTCAGGTACTGGTTCGATTGAGTCTGACTTTGAGCCTGGATCCCACCGAACGAATTATGTCGCGTTCCATGGAAATACTCTGCTCTGTTGGTAGGTTGGACCTTCTCTATGATGGTTTTAGGTAGGAATGGGCTGATAGATTCCTCGATGCTCACCGTGGTTCCCGATTTTCCAGCAGGGAAGTAGTAGTTGTATTTTCGAGGTTGCAGGACGTTCTGCTCGAGACCGTATCCGAGACCACTGTTGACCGTTCGTTTGGACTTCTCCTCGGACGTGACGCTTTCATCTTCTGTTCCATTACCAAAGTCTAGTAGAATGATCGGAGGCAAAATGGGTAGTCGATCCTCTTCTCCCTCGCCATCTTCCTTCGAGTCCAGGATCTCTGCATCCTCTGGGTTGTCCAAACTGACAGGCTCGTTCACGGACTCAGCCTGGGCGCTAGCTTTGGACAGATCCCTTCCTGAAGTTCTTGCATGGCTGAGGCCAATTACCAGCAGAATCGTGGCGATCTGAAAGCGATGGACGCAAAGTAAGGAAGAAGAGTTTTAGAAAGCATTTACTATTTAAACAAAATTATGTTTCGATGCATCATCTTCTTATAAAGTGTTCCACGTCCTCCTCTCTTACGGCAGAAGAATGGAAGGACGTTCGCGAAGTAGGCTAATAATTATTGATCGAGGGGAAATCTTAGACGTCTCGAACAGCAATCATTACAGGGGTCGACCTTGGCAGAAAAGAGTTTGGATTTCTACAAGGTTGCCGTCGAAGTCAAGCAGCCGGAGAACGAGTTTTATGCGCTGTGCACTTGTGATTTTCACCGCTTTCTTCGACAGACAACGCGCCTCGAGGGATATCCGCGCCACGTGAATTGAAATTTCAGCGTTCATCGATAAGAAATCATCGCTTCTTGTTCTATAGATAACGAGGTATCGTATACTTGGACGTGACTAAATTTTCTGTTAACTTTGAATTATTTTATGCGGATTATTTCGACTGTAACCCACAGTTACGATGCTAATAATTCTCGATTAGTATCGTACACCAATTAACGAAAACGAGTTTGGTAAGAAAGTTTACACGTAACGCGCGTATCATCAACCTGGTTTTCGTGAGACCAATTTACCTGGAAAGTCATTAATTATTGGCATTTCGGGGATGTTGTTTGCCAAACGAAAGCAAGGTTCTCATCGTATTTCTACGTCAGCCAGATATGAAATCAGCCGTTACCCAACAAGGACCAAAAGGAACAGATTTTATGATGGTGTGGCGCGCCAGTATTCGTCGAATACCTTGAAGGACTTTCACTGACTTGCTCAAGAGCATCTGCCACGACTACTTTGCCGGACGCTGCGCGACCGTGGATGAAAGAAGATAAGAAACACTTTCTCCATAATGATTTAGAAGAGACTATTCCGTAGAGAAAAGGGAATGCAAAAGTATCAGCAATGCGGATAATTAATCGTTCAATAATTTATGTTAATAGTAAGACTTGTTCCTCTACGTATCGAGTAGAAAATTAACCAGCCGTGAAGAGCAATACTATGTGTAGAGATTGGAGTAATTACGACAAAATCACTTAACTGTAGTCGATTGCATTATAAATAAATTAGCAATTACTACATACTTTTAACACCTAAAGTAGTCTGAATGACGCCGACCATGCGATGGACTACAATAAACAGAATTAAAATTCACGAAGCAGTAAAGGGGAAGTCCATGAGATGATCACTGAAACGACGCAAGAAGTATACCTGCTGCGAGCCTAATCAGAAATCCAGTGGGAAAGCCATCGAAGATCACTGCAGCGCAGGGCGATGCATTCGAGAAAATTTTCTGATCAGATATTGCACAACAACCTACAGTTTCTATTTTCCATAACTGATCTTATGTGGAGGCATTCTGGTTTTGGAGAACTAAAACTTATGAAATTTTCACGAATTTGTTTAAAATAAGCTAGTTGCTCTAAAAATGTAAAACTACGGTGATGTATTCACGTGTGATTCAAGTAACTATGAACTTTGTTATGTGAATAAAACTTCACTTTAACGCACAGATTTGACTTGTTCGTTGCAATATAACAAAATACAATAACGTGGTCACTGACTGCTTCGATAATGAAACAGATTGATTCACAAGTGGAATGACTTGACGAATCAATAAATGGTTAATTAGTGAGATGATCACTGGAACGACACTGGGATTAATCAATTATCCAATTGAGAACCGATGGAAACGATTCTTGACGGTGCATGTCAGTCAAGTGACATTCAAGGCAATTAGAAAATCTCTAATTTCTATTGACAAGTAAGAGCTAAAACACGCGATTCGCGAAAAAAACAACAAAAATCACGGTACTTACGTAGATCGCGTTAGACCTCATGACAACGGTCGACCTTAAACCTGCACGCTTTGCGGCCTCGTCGTGTGTATTTGGGACTGATGAAGCAGAGGCCGCAGCATCCCACCTTATATGCCTTCGCTTGAACCGCGAGAGGGACACCGTGATTATAGTTTCACCGCCGTAACACAGAGGCATTTCTCATTCGACACGTACGGAAAGACACCTGCCAGTAGCGTAGCGACGCTGTCCAGATTGCGTGCTCATCCTCGATCAGCACTTGGACGCGAGGAAAGCAGGAACTACGATCTGATTCTCGCGTAAGACTGGTAACATTAAAGTCACAAATAATCGACGCACGTTTTCTGCTACCTTACGGTTTCATGCAATCGCCCGAATCGTTGCGCAAACGCAACTTAATTCTGTTATGTCATCCTCTGCCTTCTAATCCAGAACTGGAAACCCTGGCGTGTACCTCTGGATCTTCTACTTTGATCTAATCGATTTTTATGTATGTCCAATTGAAAAGTTCATCAGTTATTCGAACAAGTTTTGCTCCGATCAATGTGAAATGTAATTTTAAGTTAAATTCAGTCATTTCTGCTGAAAAAGTAATTCACTGAAACTTTTTTATCTCGATATTTTCATCTGGTGAGAAAATTTGGCTATGATAATTTGATAACGCAATTAAGTAACTTTTACTTAAAAAATGATGCAATCGTTTATCTGTTCTAGTAAATGAAAACTCAGTTGATTAACAATCCTCATGGTACAGGTGAGGTCCCAACGTACCTGTATTTCTGGGAAATTATTTCAAAAGCCTACACCATTGGCTCTTTCCTCCAGCATCCGCTTTCTCGATTCGGCACGCTGCTGGCACACGCGCAAATGGTTGTGTCTGTGCACACTCACTTCGTGTCTCACTGACACTTCTGAGCGAGTGGACGTTCGTATCGCAACCGATGATGGTTTTATCACCGATACATTAGCACTGCCAGTCATACATACATATGTAGATATTAGCAAACATATTAGGTGATCGTTTAATAAAAATTACGGGACACAGATTTCTAAAGAATAACGAATTTCTGAGAATATTCGTTGAACAACCAAGTAACTGTTATCTTCATTTTATTATTATTCATTTATGCATTACTTAACTAATTTTTTCTTTACATCTAAAGATTATTATACCGTAGAAAACGTTAATGTAACGTACGAGCAATTTATATTTACAATGAATATTCTCATTGCTTACAAGACAATATCAAGGTTTGCTCGAATAAACTAAGTCTCGAGGGAAATCTCAACTGACCTGTATAAACGGAATTGAAAAATAGTAATTGTATCTTTGATCTAATTGCACTTTAAACGAACTAACGGTTTCTTAATTGAATTTTGTTAAAAATTCCAGTAGGTACGATTTCTATGACTTCATTTGCCATTGTGTTTAACGCCAGCAGTTGCACCTTAATCACACCTAATCATCGAACTAATCGTCCCATCATTTACGCGCCGAATAAACAGTCATGTATATCTTAATTACACGAATATAGTATACGCTACAGAATAAGATTTCTTCTTCGCTAATTACCCAAGAATTTCGAATCGTTGTTGAACCAGTTAGAGTGTTTCATAGACAACAATGATTGCTTAACAAGTCTTTATTTTTTTTTCTTTTAAGAATCATATAAAAAGTACACCTATAAGTCTGTAAAAAAAAAAGGGGAGAAAAAAAAAGAAATAACAGAGTAAGACGAAACACGACGTTCACGCTCGTAGCTCGGCGTTCTTCGATGAAAGACTAGATATGCGATCGCGCCTTCTATTGTTGGCGAAATGTCTTCAGGTTCACTCGTAACTATGTACTTCGAACGTCGAAATTTCCATCGACGAAACCGAACACCCTACTGACCACGTGTGGTCGACACTCGTCGATCGTTACGCGACGAAAACTAGCTAATCAGTTTGTTTTGCGTTTCTTGTGCAGGAAGTTCTCTTTCGACGGCAGGAAGCCACTTTCCAATTTTATCGGCCTCTCCTGATATCTGTAAGAACGTTGCGCGTTAAGTACTCGAAGGGAAGATGTCACGCGATTGTGGTTTATTCGCAACGACTACGCACAGTCCTTCTGAATTTTTCTTTACTGGAGCTGAGACTTGCCTGGCAAAATCCTGAGCCGCGATTAGATTGCTCGGAACGTACGAATCCAGCAAAGATCTTGGCTCTGACAGGTCTACATGGTTCTGAGCCGGAGTGGATTCCTCGTCTTGCGATTGAACAGGTGACAGGGGCGTGACGTCTGATTTGAAATCTTGAGCAGGCAATTGGGGTGGCACCAAGTTATCGTTCGGTTCCTCGGGATCCTGTAAAGTAGAAAATCGAGTTGAGTTAGTCAGTTTCATTTTGTATACAGCAGAAACGTTTTACAACATTTTACTTCCAGCAGCTCTTTATTCTAGTAATTATAGACCCTCGTTAACTCCGTTAATAATGTGCTCCTTTCGCTACTATGATCTCTACGTTTGTTCTCGACGATAGTGAAAGGTTTCTAGAAGTCGATCGCGATAAAAGAACGAAATCATAGAATCGCAAAAATTTTGATCATCTCTGATCAAGATTAATCTCTCTTTAACTCTAATCCTTCATCTCTCAAGTGTTACCAACCTTGACGTAATTTAGAGATAGGCTCTGGCTGGCTTGCTGGACATGGTTAGGCAACTGATCGGCGATCGTCGTCGCGGTGTCCAACTGTTCAGGCGGAGCACTGTACTTCCCGTTGGCAGGCAAAGAGTTATCCTGCGCGTAGGCAGGTGCACGAGCGTAAACATCGGTATAGACCGGCGTAGCATGCATGTAAACCATCGTCGGTTGAGTATAAACTAGCTGAGGGACGTATTGCGACTGGGGCTGAGCGATGTACGCTTGCGTGTACAAGAACTGCCTTCCTTGGTTGTACGACTGGTCTGATGGAAAGTACGTCGGTACGTTCACTAACGGTGCATTGGTGTACTTCTTTGGAGTAACGGGAGTAGCATAAACTGTGGTGCTTTTTATTGCCTGAAAGAATGGTCGTTTAGTCCTTGGCTAGTCTTAAATCCTTCCGCGCGACAACGGAAGCGGCAGTAAATTGCGCTCACGAGTGCAAGCCGTGAAATATTAATCGAGAAGCTTGTTACATCGGAAGCTTGATATTTTTATATGGCTGTCTCTACGTTTCGTTTCTTTGATCTGTCTATTTAATTCGGTCTTCAACGAACAAGCTTGATTTCGAATATTATTGTAAACGGAGTACGATCGTGAAAAGGATTATTATTCCTCTAACCTTGGTTGCAGTGGCGGCTGGACCGACAGCATTGTATTTCGAAGGGTACTGAAGCTGATAAGTCGGCTTCGCCGAAACAATCGGTTTCTGGTTCAGCGATGAATAGAGAGGAATGGATATCTGATCCGCCGCTGATGTAGTCAACCGAGGCACCAGTACGCTGCTTTTACCAGGATTTACGTCCAAATTCGGATAATAGGTCAGGACGTGCATCATGGGAACATCGACGTACACCGTTTCTGTAATAATACGGATATGTGATAACGAACCATCGTAAACGAACTGTTTTTAATTTTTAAATTTGTTGGACGAGTACCTTTGTTTTTCGCATATTTTGCGGTGACTGTTTTCTGCTGGGTGGTCTGCAGTTGATTCCCCACGGTCACTTCCGGTCGGTAAATAAACTGTTGGGGTTCGTAGACGTTGGGTCCGATCAACCTTTGCGGTGGGGGCTGCTTCTGTTGCTGATAATCAATGTAGTATTGTTGCAGCGGTTGTTCGGGTAGAATGCTGTTCTGCTGCTGGTAAACTTGCTCTCTTGTGGTGTATTTGTTGTACTGGGCGTAGGATTCCGGAGGAACGTGCTGAAAAAAATGTCAAGTAAATAAAACAAGTCTGTCAAATTGATCGAAAATATTTTATTTTATTTAATCTACACTTATAGAATACTAAATGTTTTACGTTTTGACTCGAAGGTGGAGTTACGTATGTCACTGGCGAACTGGTGGGCCTACTGTACTGGCTGGGTATCTGATATTGTTGCTGATTAATTTCCGGTTTCGCCAAGTACTTCGTTTCCTGTGGCCTTCCGATTCCCGACTTCGATATGCCCTCCACTCTCAAGTTGTCCCTCTCTATGTCCTCCAAGTTGATTTTCTTCTCCCCGTTTATGCCGACGAACAGCACACCCAGTATGAAATACAGTTTCTGCAAAATGAATAACGCACGTCGTAATCCACTGACCGAAGTCGATAAGTTGCTTAAACGGTAAGGTTAATTTAACGAGCTTTATTTTCATGCGGGAAACGATTGCACCGAATATTTAATTTCGATCATGTATTTGTTGCTTAACCATTGCGAATACTGGTAAAAAGTGAACTTGCATCAGGGTACACTTTCACTGCCCACGAAGTTCTGGGTTAAGCATCCGGTATGGACCACTCTTTTATACGCCGCGCCACACATCGGGCCCCTCCTGTGGTCCGAGTGTATTCCATCATCGATGCAAAAGTAAAAGTTTCTCTTCCTGGTACTCGCATAAATTTCGGTGCAATACGGGCATAATACAGGGTGTTCAATGAATTGCAATACGAGTGGAAAATGAAGTAGACTGATGCACATTTTCTGATCACCTCGTACATTAAAATATATACATTGAATTCAAGCCAAGAAAAATGGGAACGTGTACTTGTCTTGGACAGCTCACTATTATTCTTCGAATAGAATGACACGCTGCCGATGGCAAGGATTGCTGTACGAAAGAAAGTACTTTATCTTGGCGATGCGATCCCGTTGGATAAAGTATTTTACAGAAATGAAACCTCATCAAAGGAGAACAGTCCTACATTGAAAGATATATCGAAATAACACTTACCATGCTGCTCAAGCGTGAAAAACAACGATCACGACACAGAGATTCCAGCTCTACTACAAAACCAAACTAGATTCACCTTCTCTTATATAGCTTTTACCCCTACCCGTAGCATCCCCTGGCGAGGCACACACTTCACCTGAGAATCATGGCGCGCATAAAGGTCCTCTTCGAGCACGTGTTAGGGAACATACTGGGATCATTCCGATAAAAGTGAAGGGACCAAGAGAAGGCTCCG